TACATCAGCATCACGATTTCCACCACATTCTTCTCAAAACAACAAAGAAGAATTTTATCTATTTTATTTATTGATTAATTGAAGATTGTAATTCCACACTGTACAAACACTTTTTTTGTACGAATAGATTATCATTAAACTAATAATAATTGTTGCTGCTGGTAGAATAGAATTGGGTGTTGTTTGTGAAGCTGTTAGTAGGGCCTAATTAGCACCACACACCCTTTACAGTGAAAAGATAACTGACAGAGGTTCCACAATGAAATAAGATGCAGAGTATTTCATTGTTCTTTGCTTGCTAGAATGCAGTGAAATCGCAAAAATTATGTTCCTCACGATTTTCCAAGTGTAAGGACCTGGCGCACATTTTTATTTAATCCAGCCGGTAAACCGCGACTATCTAAAATACCGTCTGTTATCGCGGTATAATATGAATCGATATATCGGCAGTAATCGGGCGATATTCTTCACATCGTACCGGAAAATACCGCTCAGTACACCGTTTCAAAGTTATTCACCCCTTTTTGTTTTGATGGTTAGAGGAGTATATAACAGCGATAAAAAAATCGAAAGATTTCTGCCTTTCTCTTACTGACTCGGCGAAGTGCATGAACTTTGACTTGATTTACACAGTGAGCCAGCATTACCACCCTGTCAATCCTAAGATGTGTTAGCATCACTGTCATCGGTGATTATCGGCTAGTCTAAAAATAAAATGAAACTCTTGAAAAACTTGAATAGGAAAACACGCAGGATTCTACTGTCAGTATACCGCGGTACCACTTTGAGAAAGTTTTTCACAAATTGTAATATTTTTATTTGACCTGTAAATCTCAAATTTTTAGAGTTCTGCAATACGGTTTTAGAAACAAAGGAAAAAATTTATGTTGTTCGCCGTAGTATAACACTGATATCTATCGCAAAGTGTGCATTCGTGTGAAGATCTGGTATAAATTTCTATTGGATATTCATAACAACCAACTAATGAAAAAATCCGAGATGATGATTTTCTCAGGAATGCAGCTAAAAATGATAATATAATACAATAAATCATCAGAAGTATGAAAAAAGGCATGCAGTTTTATGTAGTATTAAACGTCCACGTATGTATACGCGGACTGGGTATATGTTTTGTGAACTTTTTCATCTGATGTTATGTCAATTCGTAGTGTACACTTTTAATTATTTTAGAACTATTTTGAATCAACACTATATCAAAATACGTATCCAGAAGAAAGTTAAACGTCACAGAAAAATATAAAATAAAAACGTGATGACACGTTTTTACCGTGATATTACTATTCATTAATTATGATCGACCAATGGAATGAAAGTAGTATTACATCTTCACCGTTACATGTAACATTTTTTGTTGCATTTCAACGAGAAAATAATTTAGAATATCACATTTTTACCGTTGATTACTGTAGTTTTCCTGTTAGATTTTGAGAAAATGGATGAACATGCTGTAATACTTGTGGTATACACTTGCCTTTGATAGGTTACTAGTATTCGCTTGAGAGTATTCACTGAACCGAATGCTGTCCCATATCGGAAAAAAAATCTTTAATTAAGTTTATTCACGAAAACTGAGAAATCACCGTAAATGTGCAACGATGATCTTCGAGAAACATATCAGACGATATCAGTAAACGTATAGAAACAAGATATGAACTAGTGAGAGATAAATAAACAGAAGAAATATGATAAAAAATAATTATAGAGCAAAAAAGATAAACAAACTGAGAATACTAAAACATGGCTAACAACAAAAACACAGAAACAAAAAAAAAAGAACTTTTTTCGAAAGGCATTAAATGGTCGACTCTAGAAGCTTGTTTCAATTAGTGACTATCGACCAACGAATTGTATTGTTTGAGAAGCCATTGATTAGAGCGAAAATGCGAACATACTTTGAATAATGACAACATAAAGAACTATAGTAAGGGTGATGAATAGGATAAAATATAGAAAGAGGACTCAGTTAATGATAAATTTTAAAAACTGAATAAGCCTGAAATACTGGTGACTAAGAAAGAGATGGCACTTTATTTTCTTCTTCCTGCTTCAGTTGTACGTTATTGATATATTTAATTTGCTCGCTCTACCATTTTTATATAAGATTTGAAAATGACCGTAGAGGTCGAAATATTGTAAGACTAAGACTAAGATTTCAGAATGAGTTTTGAACAAGCTTTTCAAAAATATGTACATGTAAGTCATTCTCAAAACGTTGAACTTAGATATTCGCTTCGTATTTGCAAGGATCTGAGAGTTTAAGTCAGAAATCCTTAACCCCTTACAAATGACTTTTCTCGGTCAGAAACATAAAGGCACTAATATTATTTTCCGAAATTAAGCTTCTAGAATTTTTTCTAGACGGTTTTTCATATCCCTCCCGCGAAGGACAATAGTCAATGATGTCTAGATTTTGAATTTTTTCCATATTTTCGTATGTAATCAATCCATTTTCTCTATGTTGATCAAATTTGAAAAAATGCTTTAGAGGCTTTAAAGGAGATATTCTTGATCATCTTAGGAAACGACATCTGGTCCATGCAGCTTTGAAAAATTTGAGAAAAAAGTTTTCCAAAAATCATTGGAAGCCATTTTCTTACAGAGACCGTTCTTTGCTCGAAGAAACACGAATAGCAAGTTTGTTTACAGAATGAGAAAAAGTCATCATAAAGGGTACATCAATAGGCAAATTTTGTATAATAAAGACAGGAGATTAGAAAATGACCAACTTGAAACGGAGTTGACACTTGTTGGAAAATTGAAAGAGCAGTAGGAGAGAGAGATAAAATTAAGAAAATATCATTAGCAATAAACAAATTTCACAATTTGGAGGAAGAGATCATTTATGAAATTAAAAAATAGAAGAGATCCAAGCACTGTCTTGTGATAAACCAGACAGAACATAAGAAGGGGACAAGATAGCATCATTTACACATACACACTGAGAACGTTAGAGTAGAGAGGTGACAATACTAAAGAGAAAATAATTAGTCACTTATATCACAACGATGCAATTTTTTTCAAGAAAAAAGAAAAATAACTAAATGTTAAGAATCGAGTGTTTGCGACGAAAGCCAGATTGTTTGATTACGAAATAGAAATGTTTAAAAAGATGAATAAAAATAAGATCGTAAATCACAGTTCGGACACTTTAGAAACAACAGGAAGAAGAGAGATACAATTCAAAATGATAGAGATAAAATGATGGTGAGATGAAAGAATGTCAGCAGAGGGGATTACATTAACACCAACAGTAGACTTTTCTACCGATTTGAGGAGGAGATACTCGAACTCTCAAACAGAGAACTCAAGCATATCCGTCGACGGCAAAAAATCAGTAAAAGAAGACAGAAGGGATCGCAAAGAGATTCCACTTCATACATTTTAGAAGACACAACACAGTCTAACTTAAATGCAGCACACAAAACAATATGAGGAGAGAGAATTATTTTCATAGAAGAACGTCAAAGAAGAAATCGACAGCACCCATCTGCGATTGCACAAAAGAAAACAACGGGCACAATCGACGGAGAGTTTCGTGAAGTCTGCTGTTTTGATTCTAGAGTATACCTACAAGATTAAAACAAGCGAAGTCAGTGGCATTAAATCTGGGTTTGAGCAAATGTTTTTTATTTTGAACGCTGTTTTGAGCCTATCATATCCTAGTTTTTTTTAATTTTTATTCCTTCATACTCTTCGTAGGTTTGAGCTTCTGAATGGTTTAATAACCAAAAATCAATTTTATTAGTGGTCATTTTTTCGAAAAGCTTGCAGCTTACCTTTGTAGAGAATTACCTCTAACTCGTAATAGAAATGTTAGTAGGTTTCACATAAATTATTATCTCCTCATTAAACTTCCATTACCAATAAATATTTTCATCTGAAATCAGGGAAAAGACAAAAGTTATGCGACCCTTTCCAGCAGTATGTATCTATTGGTGTTCAATATCCATTAAGAAGAGATTGTTTTTCACTTCAATGTTTGTTTTATTCTACAGAAACATTATAAAGACCAAATGCGATTACGCTCAAGAACAAGTCCCACTGAATTTAGCTGGAGTTCAAGTGCAACACGAGCATGCTCAAAGCCTTAGGTGATGAAATAGTAAACTCACACTACAGATTTATGAGTACACAGTACTTCTGTTAAAGGGAATGAGAAAAGAAATTATTTAATAACTTTTTGAGTGATGAGGAAACCGTACCAACGTTTCCTTCTGGTTTTTTGGTGAATGGTCGAAAATATAGATAATTTTGTATATAGAAACGGTTTGTTTTCTGTTTTCAATAAAAAGATTGTACTACGGACTTTTTCAGAACTGATCAATGTTTATTGGTTCCATTTTCCCATTCATCATCTTTATCAAAATTCGCTTGATTGTCTTTATCCTTCTCCCTTCATCATTTACGTTACTCCTGTCATCCGAATCAGACATTTAATCCAATATAGTCTTCCATCGTATATGAAATTATTGAATGATGAAATTGTTTCAACTAGATATTTAGCCATCTCACACTCATTTTATGAGATTTCGGGTTTTTTTTTTATCCATATTAATATTCATTAATTCAGATAAATATTAAACTACGTTGACCAGGTTATTAACGCGGTGCGAAGCATATCATATTATGGTGATCGTGTGCGTCTTTTTATCCCTAGATCAGAAAAAGTGTCATTCTTTGTGACAAGTACAAGTACTGTTTCAAAAATTGAAAAACAAAGAGATAGAACCGTGGCTAAATGTTGAAATGTCCCCTTTTGAGACTGGATATTGCATGTGCCTTCTAAGGCGTCTGAAAGTAGGTGGATTGAATGTTATGTACTTAGAAATTATTCAAGAAAATTAATAATTAATCTAACAGTGTAGCGCCTTGTGAAGTTTGCTAGTATATGGTATTGCCTGGTATCATATTGGAAATGAGCCATTATCATGTTTTTTCTAGCAGGTCATCTGATCGTTTAATAAGGTAATTGTGACATACCTTTATTTTCCAAGACCCTAAGTTGTGTGATTTGCTTTGCACCGCATTCGCAAGTCTCGCGTGGCGAGATTGCCATCTACTTTTTTATGTTATTATTCTTGAATGAGCAGAAAGAGTGCCTACCTGATGTTTTACTGTTCACTAGAATGTATGAATAATATAGCGTATATACTAACAGAACCTAGATGAATAAAGCAAATTGCACAGTACTCTTATTCGGAATTAGCATATAAAATCATCTGTATCCTCATACAGTTGACCAAAAAAACGATGCAACAGTTGGGACGGTCAGTAAATTTTTACAGTTACTCAAAAAGATTCCTTCTTCTTCCGAATGTCAAAAACGCTATATTTAGAATGAAATTTTGCAATTGCACAAACAAATTCTACCTTCGAGTAAAAGTCTGGTTACTTTTTCGCAAAGTTACACACAGTACATTATGTTAATAAGAACAGCGTGTTTCCTTTTACTGTTTTTCTTGCTTCATTTTAATTTACTTTCTAAATTTTACTGTCTATTTCTGTATTCGTTTTTATAATGCATACCATCTATTATTGATTATTAAACGACTTAAGAGAGAAAAACTCTTTCATTTTTTTATCGAAAACTCAGAATGCTTCTGCATGGTATTTAAGGAATGTAAGTATGTTAGTACTAAGATCAAAACATCCATATAAATCAAAAACACGGTCATTATCGATAAAAATCATGTTTCTTTGTCTCAGATGTAATTCTAATACTATCCATGGCAAATATATTTCGAGAATTTTTATCAGATGCTGAAAAAGGTGATAGTGATTCGATACAAAAAGCTATTCATCGAGGTATCGATTTAGAAACACGCGATGAAGTAAAGAAAATAAAAGAAAAAACATTGTTCAAATAAAATTATAATTTTATTTTTGTCTCTTTTAGGATCAACAGACGGCATTAATTTTGGCTGCACGTCTAGGTCATATTGAATGTGTTAAAGTTTTAGTTGATACGAAAGCAAATGTGAATGCTGAAGATGTGGTGAGTTAAACTATTAGCAAAGCTTTAAATATATTCGAACAGAAATATTGGTATTTTAAATAAAAAATCGATGAATGTATGATTTCAATTTAAGTACAGCAAATGTAGAGTAATTATCGACAAAGACGTAAATAATGTGGGGTTATTAAATTTCAATATGTTCTCTAGAATTCCAAATAGATGAAAGCGATCATTTTTTCAGCAAACCTCCTGATTTTTATATGCAGCTACGCTGTTAGCCATCAGAAAATTCACACCATTTTGATAGACTGTATTTCGTTTTAGGATGGATGGACAGCATTACTCAATGCTACAAAAGAAGGTTATATTGATATTGTACGTTTGCTTGTCGAAAATAATGCTGACATTGAACATAGTGATTGTGTAAGTTTAAAATTATTCAAGTTTCGATAATGTATTCAAGTTTTTTATTCGTTCATTTTAGGGTGGTTTTACATCGTTAATGTGGTAAGTAAAAGAAAAATTTTGATCGAATAAAATGAAATAAACGATCAAATTTTGTTTTTTTGTTAATAGGGCGGCATATCAAGGTCACACGGCAATTGTTGAATATTTGATAACATCAGGATCTGTTTTGAATGTGGTTGATGAAGTATGTTATTAGTAGAGACATAAAGGTTAATTTTATATTTACATTTTCTCATTCTAGCACGGTATCACACCTTTGACTTGGGCATCGGGTCGTGGACATGTGGCAATCGTATCGGCATTGCTATCAGCAGGAGCTAAGCCGAATCTTGCCGACAAAACTAATACGACTGCATTGCATTGGGCATGCAGACGAAGTATGCTATTGATTTCTTAAATATTTGTTTGGAAAAAAAAGTATTCTATATCAAATTTAGATTACACAAATATCGCTCAATTACTATTACAACATGGTGCAAATATTAATGCTATTGGAATGGTAATACTAATTCCAGTCGAGAAAAAAAATGTTAAATATAATTTTATTTATTTCTAGAAAAACGTGACACCGTTACTAGTTTGTTTAAAAAATGGTCATCAAGAAACTGCCCTCCGTCTTTTAGAATGTCGCCCGGATATCAAAGTACAAGACAAAGTGAGTGTGTATATGTTCTGTCAACTTCATAAGTCTTTATCATCTGTGAATATTTGAAGGATGGACAAACAGCGTTGAGTTTAGCGTCAAGTCATGGTATGACTGACGTCGTCAAAGTACTCATAGAACAACATGCATATGTTAACACAACAGATAAAGTAAAATGATATGAAAAATTTACTAATATTTATTTTATACATCAATTTTTAATTAAGAACGGTGATTCAGTGTTATTTTCGGCAGTTAAATCGGGTAATGAAGATTGTGTAGCTATTCTAATTGATAGTCATGCTGATATTGATATTGTTGGTGCTGTAAGTAAAACGAAATAAATTATTTATTATACAAATAAGATAATGTTTGTTTCTGTTTAGGAAAATAAAACAGGTAAAGAAAATTGAAAACGTTTATATTTTAATACAACCATTTTTCGATTGCTTTCAGTGGTCTGGTGGGCTGTTGAACGTGGAAAACTTGAAATATTAAAATATTTATTACAATTTAATCCTGATGTAGAAATTTGTGCTGGTGAAGAAGAAGATACGTAAGCTTTAATAAGTACAGATAGAAAAGAAAATTTTTAGTCCATTCTCTTTTTTTAGACCTTTGTTATTGGCAACTAAACGTAAACGTGTTGCAATGGTTTATGAACTAATTAAGTATGGTGCAAAATTATCTGCTGTTGATAGAGTGAGCTGTGCACGATGTTTTATTTGAAAAAAAATATAATAGTATATTTTTATTTCTCTAGCATGGAGATAATTGTTTACATATAGCATTACGAAATCGTACACGTGAAATTGCTGATATTTTACTATCAAATCCACGTCATTCTAAATATCTTTATCGACCAAATAAAAAAGGTGTTACACCGTATAAAATTGATGCCACATTACAAAAATCAATCTTAACAACAATATTTGGTCAACGTAAGTTTGTGTCAAACATCTAAATAAATTCTAAATTTTGTTTTTACTATTCAGGTACATTAAATCTTAATGATGATTCGATACTTGGTTACGATTTATATTCATCAGCGTTAGGTTGGTATTGATTGCATTTTGAATGAAATAAATTAAATAAATTTTTCTTATCTTTAGCCGAAATTCTATCGGAACCATCTTTGCGAACGCCTATTACAGGTAAATTTATTTCTTATTATCCAAGTAATACTAGAAAAATAACCATTTTATTTTTAATCTTTTTAGTTGGACTTTTTGCAAAATGGGGATCAGGAAAAAGTTTTTTATTATCACATTTGAAAGGTAGTTATTAATAGACGATACATGAAGAAATTTCACGACTGTAATTTTGTTTTATTTAGACGAGATGAAAGGTTTTGCTCAATTAACCGATTTTCCAACATTAAAATTTTCTCCATTACTTATATCATTAGTATTAATTATTGCATTGATTATTGGCCTACTCACCGGCTTTATGATCCATTATATTGTTGGATTAGTATTGAGTTTTTCTTGGCTATTATTGTCATTTTTATCCTTGTTTCTTATTTATTATCTTCTAAAACGAAAAGATTATTTGTGGACAGCAAATATAGCTCATTTCATAACGAATCGTTTGGAATCCTTACGATTTTTACTTCAAGTATTATTTATGAATCCACATGGTATAGGACGAAAACAGGGAACTGATGATTATAAAAAAATGAAGTAAGTTTGAGAGAACTGATAGAAACTAATAAATGTTCATCTGTCTTTCTTTAGATTTATATTCACTGAATATGGCAAAGTGTCCACGGTAGAGGATGGCATTGGTGGTATGATAGCATCATTAAGTCAAAATGTAGAAGATACATTTGGACTGATTTCAACACGTTTGTGTCGTGTGTTACAAACAAAAGGTTACATATACTTCTTTTTCCCATAGTAAAGATTGATTACGTTTTGTATTTTAAGATGAAAGCCGTTATCGTTTTCGTTATATATGTTGTATGCCAGCCTTTGTATTTGGTATTATTATTTTTGTTCTTCTTTTTGTTATGGCAATATTAGCTGCTATTAAAGGTACAAGAATCATACAAAATATTCTTCTATCATTCTCAGAGTGTTTATTATATTTTTTTTGTAGGTGTACCCAGTACTCAACGTTCTGTTAATATTACATATATCACATTGATAAGTTTAGTGAGCGCAGCATTTCTGAGTACTTGTCATACATGGATTCGTTTAATATTTGTATTAATAAAAGCACCTAAATCAAAAATAATTCGTTTTAATGAGAAAAATGATCTAGTTGGACGTGAAGGATCAATGTATAGATTAAAGAAAGAAGTAAGTAAATCCATCAACTGGAAATCTAAATGTAATCGATAGTAATTTATTCATTGTAATACTTATATTGCTAGTGATATTTTTCTAGATTACACAATTATCCTATATTATCAAATCTGTTGATGCATTTTTAAACATTACCACTCGTTTGGTTGTGTTAATCGATGGTCTTGATGTTTGTGAACAGTCACGCATTTTACAGATCTTGGATCAAGTGCATGTACTGTTTACAAGAGAAAATCATCCTTTTATCACGCTGCTTGTTGTTGATCCACATATGAAAATAGTTGAAAGTATTCCAGCAGTTTCAGGCGATTCATCACAACATGCGCTATATGATACAAACGTAAATGGTCATGATTATTTGCGTTCAATTATACAATTACCAGTATATTTACAACTTAATTTAACAAAAACCAAACAGTTAAAGAAAAATGCTGACACCGGTTACTTAAAAAAGCGTGGAAATGTAAGTACAGTTAGTAAGACATGAGACTAGAGATGGCAGCAGATGAAAAAGTCGGTGACGGTATGTAAAAACTTTTGATCAATCGGTGGCGGCGACGTGGGGAGTTGGCTGACATCTCTACATGAGACTTCTGTTAGATTCTGGCAGATATTCAGTTTACTTACAATACATACGTATAGAGTGCTGCAAGAGATAGCAATTGGATATTTTTATATTCATTCATAGACACTTACTGCTGGCTCATCAATACTTGATATTGCTGCTAAACAAGTCGTTGAAAATACAGCAGCAATTAGTAAAAATAAAAAACGTCGTCAAAGACGAGCGACGATACAGAAAACAAAACCGGTATGTTTATCTTACAAATAAATTCAAATTCTTTTATCTTCATTTTGCTATTATTCTTTATCGAAGGTCTCAACATCTGAATTGACACATCAATTGATGCAATCGGATTATTTTCTCGATATTAATCCACGTATTTTGCAACGTTTGATAAATATTATTGCAATGACAGGACGGTTATTACGGGCATATCAAGTTCTATTCAGTTGGAAAAGATTGGGTAGTTGGATTTATTTAACTGAACAATGGCCTTATCGAATATCTTGGATTGTGGTGTGTTACGAAGATCATGAACAAAATTTTTCCAATGATGAATCACTTAAAGTTCTATATGAAAAGTATGTATTTTAAATTATCTGTTTGGTTGATGTTATCATATCTAATTGTAGAATTCAACCATTTATACCACAAGCAAATGATCCATTGTTGGAGCTTGATCGTAATCCAAGAAAATTTGAACTTTTCTTAGAATGCAGTGAACCTGTTTTAACAATGACTGATTTAAAATTATTTTTACCATGTACATGCAATTTGGACCCGTATCTATCAAAATTAATTCGAGGTGCTTTAATTGAATTGTCCATTGATTGTTTCAATAGTTCATCGATATTTGTCATTGCATTTTCTTTTCTCTTCTTTTTACATTAGAGTCACCTTCTTATTGGTATGCAACAAATCCTCATAGTCAAACTGCAAACACTGATATATTTAAAAATTTTAACGAGGCCAAGTAAGTCTGTCAAAGACAAAAAAATCGCTTGTTTAAAATGTGTCATTAATTTGGATTTGTTTAAACTGGTTATTAATTCCTACTTTTTTTTTGTATAAACTTTATTTATCAAGCAAATAGACAGGCACAAATACAACCGAGCGTAATAACGTTCATTAGTATTCACACCTGCAAAACATCAGTTATGAAGGAAAGAGAATAAGAAAAAAACAAAAAGGAGAAGGGAAAGGAGAAAAGAAGAGAAAAAATGCTGAAAAGGGAAATTCTCAGGCGAATTATTAGAAAAATCCTGCTTCTATCTAATTTGAGCGTGCTTTAACTTGAGTCGTTGACTATTTATCTTTCATTTTTCGATTAGTATTCCATTGCGTACAACAACTCAACAACATCAACGGTCTGGTGTAGCAAAAAGAAGAGGGTCTGTGTCTGTTCCGTTTAATCCAAAATTTGGATGTCCAAGTCCATCAAACGATTCAAATCGTTTTTATCAAGGTAAATACGATATTCTCTGACTGATATGTTCATTTTTCTAAAACGATTTGTTTGTTGATCACAATTTTCAGCCCAAAATACGTCACATACAATGAATGATCAAGCGTATTTTTCTAAAAATCGATATAATCGCTCTCATATGAGATTATACGAGGATCCCAATGTATCATCTTCAACGTCTTCCGTTCCTCATCAACAAGCAAACGTTACAGAATTATCAACAACTGATGGCACTGTTAAAGTGAGATAATATATATGTGTATTCTCACGATACCATCAATGTATCTTGTTTTTAGTTGGATATGACACCGATGTTAAGTCAGATGAGTGTTAGTGATATTTGTGATTCAATCAAAACTAATATTGATGGACTAAAACCATCTATGATTCCGATTTATGTTCAAGATATGGAGGAAAATAATATATCTGGACAAGTATTAACTTCGTGCGATTTAGATGACTTAAGACAGGTTTGTTTAGATTGAAGTTTATACAATATATTCACTCAATAAACGCATTAATAAACACAGCCATACTCGTTCAATGTTCGAAAACTTTTAGTCATTTCTGTTTTAAAGTCCGAGCAAATTGTTCTTTTTACTTTCATAGAACTAAAAGAATTTAAATATTTTTTATTAATTTGATATTACACTAGAAGGAACAGTAATTGTATTAAGATATTTGATTCTAAATTACTTCTTTTTTGTCGAATTTGCATCGTTTTGTAATTCATTTAATATAGGCTATTTCGATGACATTTGGAGACTGGGTATTGTTTACAAATTGGGTTCGAATAAAACGTGATCACGAACGGTACGTCAATGATTCAAACAATACATCTTTGTCTAGTTTATTAGTTTTTTTTACGTGAATATTTTCAGACGTTCTCAATTTCGTGTACAACAGCACCAACAACAAGTAAATATCAATGATAATAAATCGATAATAAATGATTCATACGATGATTATGATCTGTATGCTGAAAAGAACGTTCTTAGTGCTGCTCTCTCACGCTTATTATCACCATCATCCACCATACCAGCAAACGGTGGAACGAATCTTCTTGATGAAAATGATGTGTTAATATCAACAAGGCCATCCTCTTCTGATTATGTTGTAACTGATAAAAAAAATGTCAAATTTTTTATACCGTTAAGTCGTTCAGGAGTGACATCAAATGAAGACACAATTGGTGTTATTGAGTCAACAAGTCGAAGAATAGCGCATGTCAAAGATTTATTTTCTTATAATAATACATTGCAACCATCAATAACAATATCGAAGATTGGTACTGAAAATCATCGACAAAGAGATGAAAGGCAAATAGACGAAGAACCATTACTTAGAGGTATGTGCAATTATCTCATATTTTGATTATCATCGGTAATGTTGGTTACTTTGCAGAATCAAATGTCGATGAACATCATGAGCAGAATGAAAATGTAGGTGAGACCGACGATGCTGAAGATGATTCGTAGTTTTAATCAAAATCGCATTCTTTTGTGCAATATAATTGTGTATTTTGGTTTTATTTTTATATTGCAATTTCCAATTTCTAATCAAAGCTTTTTGTAGTTTGTTACACTTACTTTATGCACAGTGTCTTTTATTAAAGTTTTATGTTTAAACAAGTGAGAATTTTTTTCTAAATCAAAAGGAAGACTCAGTTTTTGTAATGTGACACTGATATTTTGTATAAATGTCCACTTGGACATCTCATTTCATTTTGATTTTGTCAGTTTATATTATTCTATCTATTTTTGTACTTATAGATCTGGTCTCACATAGTTGATCTCTTTGAACAGTTTTTATATTTCTTGCGTTTTTGCTCTTATTTTAATTGTTATTTGAATTTTTGTATACATATTCAGTTGAAATATAAAATGATACTAGTTTGTTAGGAACAACGATGATAATAATCTGACATGCCATAGCGAAAAAAAAGCAAAATATATTGTTATATTCTGCGTAGTGGTTTAAAGAGCACTTGGGTACTTTGAAATTTAAATCAAAGTGAAAAAGTCGACTATGGAACAAGTTCACTTTATGGGGAACTTAAAGAATCCAGATTTTGACTATTCCATCGTGAAGAGCATCACTTAAAACCTATAAATTGACAAAAGAAACTTGGCGGCAAACACTCGAAACCCAAAAAAAATTCAATTTACTCTCATTAGTGCCTGAGGAGGACCAAAGGCACAAATTTTGGACAAAATTTTTTTCTGCTAAATATACATCATTGAACTCAGTTTCGTACGTAGATTACGAATATAGTATTGGTTTTGAATAGAAATTCTAAAAACTTCGCTCGATT